CAGGCGGCGGGGCCGCGCCAAAGTATGCCGTGGGGCAGCGCCAAAATATGCAAAGGAAAAATGCTATTAGCTCATCAGCGCTGGAGAGACTAGAAAGGGGGCGGTGGGGAGGGGGGGCGTTAGTAAGAAAGGAAACATGTTTCTGGAAAAATGTGCTGGCCAGCACATCTCACAGACTGGAGCGCCTGCCGGGGACCTTCATTTAAAGTTGAGTAGCAGTCAGTTTCCCCTTAATGACCTTTTAATTAGGAGAAGACCTTCATCAAATAAACTCTTGACTGTTGACTTTTGGGTTTCTGCGTATGAGTCACACGAGAAATACACTACCAGTGCTCCTGCCAGAGCAAGTTTTCATTGAAAAATGAAATTTCGCATGGGAGAGACTTAGCCCTCACTAGAACAAATAAACTTGGCTTGGAGAGCGTCTCCCCAAAACTATGCTTGGAGAAGAGTGGCAGGTTGTGGTCTAAAATGTGGCTCCTTCTCTTCCTGCTCTTGCAAGAGTTCATAAACGCTCTGTTTTGATAAGTCCAATCACCCAGCGAGGCGAACAAATTAAGATCCGTGGATTTCAGCCAGAAATTCTTATGGGTGTATTTTTCCAAGGGCTGTTTGCTTATGAATCCTTGCAAAGGAATGGAGGAGAATACAAAAGTACTCCTTCACCACAAGTTTGATGATGGCGAGGATTTTTCATACGTGACCCTGTCAAACCTTACCGTTCCAGGCTGGAAGTTTTTATCCTGCTTAGTGAATTCAAAGCACGCTCCTGATGCTGCCAGGTTTCCCAGGTCAAGTTAGCAGTCCAAGTGCTACTGGCTCTGCGGATATCTGCTATTGCATTTCAGTGGCCTTGATACAGTTCTCCTGAAAAAAAAATTATTGCCTTTTTTTTAATTATGTATCACTTGAAATGGATTACACTTAATCAAAATCCTGCAAAACGCAATCCTGCACCAAAGGATTTTGAATGCTGATTTGAACTGCTGCTTAGCAGTAGTAATAGTACTTCATTTTAAAGTTGCTCTTGTTAGCCCTTGAACTCAGTGGTGCTATCTTGGGTGTTAAAGTTATTCACGTGGATAAGCGGGTTAGAATCTAAGACGAGTGGCTGGTATAGACTGCTCCCAGAGCCACGCTCTGCTTACTCAGTTGTTCATCTCAGGAGAGTTGTACTGCAGACAAGGGTGCAGCCTAGTGGACTTATTGAAGCACTGTTCACATGCCTGCAGTCATCCGGATGATCTAAGGGTTAAAATCACTGGGAAATCAAAGGTTTCCCTGAAAATTCCTAAGCTGGAGAACACTCTGAGATGCATGGGGAAGGTAGGTCTGCATCCAAGAAAGCAGAGCCATCTTACTTGGAATAGCCCATTTGGCTAAATGGTTGTTGGTTATTACTGCTAGGGGGCACTTGGGCTGGTAGGGAGCGTCTGCTGGGCTGGGCCTTCAAAGGGAACAAGTAACCAGTCACTTTTGACATGCAGGAGCCAGGCACTCCAGCTGACACTCTGCTGGGTAGCCCACTGCAGAGGTTTTTGGGGTTGGGTTTTCTTACTCATCGTATTTGCAGCCTGTTCATTCCCTCAGATATTTTTCGTTGTGGCTTTACAAACGTTATTCTCTGTTTTAGGTTTCGCCTGGAACAGTCGGTGACTAAGACGGAGGAAAACACAAGGCTTGAAAATAAGGAAAATACAACACTGAAGAAACGAGGTTTCTGTCTTTCTAGTCTTCCTCTAAATCTTATTAGTGTTACAAACAGCAGGTTGATTCCCGATATGTGATATTAGAAAATGTTTCCACACGCTGGGATTCTAGCCATAATTCTTTATGCTTTGCCTGATTAAGCAACTAGTTTTCATAAAACTGGAGAAAATATAGTTGGGGATAGCCCTGCCCATTTATCGGCCATTTATGTTGTTTGTAATTTTTTCCGTAGCACAAGTTTTATTTTTTAAATTAATTTAGCCTTCACAAATCATAAAAAGACTAGTAGCATCCCTAGAGAGTCAAGTCCTTTATTTATTGTTAAGCGCCCATGTCCATTCAACTACTGTTCTTTCCTCAAAGGTTGCTGATCATGCCTATCTTTTATGACTTGGTCTGCTTAGGCCATTAAAAAGCCCGCCACTGCCTGTGGTCCCGAGATAAACAGATACCAATACTTTATAAGTATAGCCAGTAATCTCTTAAAACTTGAGATTAGGAGGTATTTTATATTTAAGCATAATTGGTAAATTTTTGCTGGACTCATTCAAAGGTAAGAAACGGAAAAGCGTCTTCGGTGGCGTGTGTAACACTTGGTGTTCTCCCTATGGGTATAGCACTATAAAATAGCAATTGTGAATCTCAAACATGGAAAAAGATTAACCTGAATTAAAACAAAAAACAAAAAAACACAGAACCAAAGCCATTTGAATTTGGCATGCCATAAAATGCATATCTTGAGAAGGACACTTTAAGGTCCTTTAAGCTTACTACTGTTTAGTTTGTTGATGAAAAACTCTGATAGCGTAGAATAGGGGAACTTATTTTAAATGTAAAGACAGTTTATGCCAATCACGTCATGTATTATGTTTAATATTATCTTTTTAAACCATCAGCTGTATTGCTATAGAGGCATTTTTGATAAAACTGAATTGTGTAAGGACAGATAGTTTGTGTTCTTGCTTAGTGTTAAATTGAGATGTTTAGCTAGAAGCAAGTATGTGAAGCAAGAAATATAAATAACTTCACAAAATCTTTACACGAAACTAGACAAATTTCATGCTTGTGTAGTTCTTTGAAGCCAATACTTATTGTTTGCGATCGAAGGCAAAGTCATTCTGTTGGTTACTGAGGAGCTACTATGAGCAAAGTCTAGATATGTAGTGAGTGGTTTTAGCTTGAAGAGTTTTGAGGGCTTTTTGTATTTGAGAAAAATTTAGTACACTCATCCATTAGTTATGTATGAGTAGGCAGAGTACTTCCTCTGGTGTTTCTGCTTGCATAAACATTGAGTTGCAATTAGATTATTCAAACTTCTCTTGTTTTGTGGATTTTACTGATTGTACTTTTTGTACTTGTCCTTAACATTCAAATATTCAAAGCAGGTGATTTTGTCACATACTAGAGTACTGCATGTTTTTCTGAAGTGTATTTAACAGCAGGTCCAGGTGTTCTTATTTAAAAACTCACTTATAGGCACGTTGCATGAAAAGGTTCCTAATTGTAATGAATTCCCCGTAATAATTTGAATTCAGATATTAAGATAGTTATTCCAGTATGTGCACTTGATTAGAAACTAAAGATTCTGAGTATTTGCAGGCTCAGGTCTTTAATGAGAATTTTTTTTAACAAACCAACCTAATTGCAGACCAAAGTCACAGACTTTTTCTGACATCAGTAGGCTTTGAAGCAGACTCTGTAATAAAAAAGCTAATCTTCTAGGTAAATTTAGTGACAATTTGTAGGTCTGACTTAAAATCTTTAATCAGGCAGCTTCCCGTGATCATAAACATAGACCAAAAGTAAACTTTCAAACGTCTTTTTTTCTGCTCTGAACTTACAAGGGAACGCAAAGATATTTGGTTCTGTAACGGACTTGTCGTCAATCCATTAAAGAATGAAAATGATCAGAATTTTTAATTAGTGGGTTATCTCCCCACCTCAAGATCATCAGTCATAATGTCACCTCCTTGGTCCCTGACTAATATTTTTGGTTTCTGTATCTGCGTTACAGAATTATTCTGTAGTTACTTTGCTTTGTACCCTGTGGGTAGTCCTGATGGATTGCATGAGTCTGTCCCCAATGAATAAAGCTAAGCACGCATGTACAAGACGTGTACGGGGTCCTGGGTGACCTGCTGGAGCGGGGGTGGGTTAGACTAGATGATCTTAAAGGTCACTTCCAACCTCAACCATTTCATGTGATTCTGTGCATCTCTGCAATGCTCTCGGAGCATAGTCAAGAAATACAGTTACAGAAGCTGAGATAACTGTTGGTCTTGTCTTGCGCGAGGCCCGAGGATAAAAGCCTTCTGAAGCCCATGGAGTTTTTGTCAAGCCAGGGTTTTGCACTGCGGTTTTAATAGCAGAATTTTTGAAGTGTAGGGTGTTGATGTGTTGGTAGAGCTTAATAAGGATGGTTTCACAACATGCAATTACATGGTTTCTTTCTTGAAGCTAGACATGCAAAGATCATAGTGAAAAATAAACAAAAAGCTTTTCCTTTCTGAATTTATGGTGTGTTTCATCTTTGAATAGTATTTTGTAACTCCATAGTGGTCTCCCAGAGGTTCCTCTAATAGATGAGATTTCTTAAAAGTACAATATATAATAAGACATTATTGTCTTATATGTATAAAAGTACAATATAGTAAGAATACTGCAGATTCAATCAGAGATTTGAAAATCCGGTGGGGTTCCTTCTTTTCTTATATGTCAGCACCTGTAACGGAAGCTTCCCCAGCTATTGTCCTTGAAGTATTCATTGTAACGTGCAAAACTTACCATCAGTGATTACTATGTTTACTTTGAATTTAATAAATTATCTGATAACACATACAAAGGAATAGAAGTTCAAGGCACTCCGAGTTAAGAGCCCACTGTTTATACATTGATGCCCCTGGTGGGTACTGGTGAGTTTCATTTAGCAAGGTTAATGAAATTAGAAGTAGGTTTGTACAACGCATGCATGAGCAGTTCTTTTTTGCTGTTGGGGAGTTCAGTCCTGAATCGTCTGTGTAAGCAGAGCGCATAGGAACAACCTACCATCTCAGACATGCCTACCTAATTTTACTGAAGCTTTTGAATATTGAAAAGAAGACATCATGATAAATGAGAAAAACCTACGTAAATTCAGAAAAAACAAATGCTTACTTGAACAGTTCTGTACACACACTTCTGTGTCATTCTGGAGCAGGGCTCCAGAAGTGAGAGTCTTCCCTTCTGCGTATGGACATCTTGCACAGAAGCACAGCTAGTAAGTCCAAGCTGAGGAAAACATGAAAAAACAATTAATTTTATAGACATTCACCAAACTCTTCTGAGAATGAGAGCATTAGGTATGAAGGGAGAGGAATGGAAGCCATGTTAAATCAGTCATTTTCCTTTCCTTTTCAGCAGGGGAGAAGTCCTTGTAAATCTTTTACAAGGTGGAACACTGTTCAACGTACCACAAAAGAAGCACGTGTTTGCAGAAATTTTGCAACGTGATTTCACCATGCATCTCATCAAAGATATTTAGACTGTGCAACAGCGATATCTCTAAAAACTAACTTTGTAAAAATGGCATAAAGGAGTCTTAGATTCATAGAATGTCATTCATTTTCATATCTAAGTCACCTGGGTTACAAGTAAAAGCAATCTCTAACTGTCCTCTGTACCTGGAGTCCTATAGTTCTTTTCTCTCTTGTATATAACATCTTCATAATAATTCCTTAGTTTGCCTAGTTATCACAGAGATAGGTTTTTTTCTCTGTAGAACTTCAATGTCTGAGAATATAAGAAAAAAACCCACTTTCAAATTCCAAGGTGGATTTTCAAAACTGGTGTAGGAAAAGAACCCTATATTATGCTAATAAGGTGTATACAGAGCTACAATCAAAATAGCCATCAGTAATGCCATTCATAAAGTATGACTGCGTGGCAAATGCGCAAATGGTGGGACGGATGATGGAGATAATTAAGAACTGGCAGAGTAATTCCGGTTTCCTTATAGGTAGGATCTGAATTGTCTGCTACTTTGGTTTTCCCTGAAGAGTATGTAGCCAGTACACAACAAAAATATAATATCTTTGCATTAGCAAGAATGTTCTTATAGCTGAGCATCAAGGACATTAGAAATAAAGTTTGCAATTTGCATTCAAAAAGAAATGAGGGGAGAGTAGAAACAAGTGATATGGGCCAACTTCTCTCCACAGAGAAATCAACTTCTGGCAGGACACAGAATCCTACCTGACAAAGGGTCTTTTTCAGATAGAGTGAGATTCGGGTTCCAGCTTAAAAGGTACCTTAAAGAGGCCAACTTCCCATAGAAAAACAATATGATTTAGGCATCTTTCTGCCATTAATCCCTCCTAGATGTCTTAGTATTTTGCTATATCTAGTGTTGTCACAATGTAAATGTGTCTTTTCAGAGGACAAGACGTATGTAAGATAAATAGCCTCACATTTTCAGCTCAGTCTGGGTTCCTAGCTTGAGGTTAACAAGCACATGTTTGATATTGTCAAGAGACATGTTAGGACTGTTTTGCTTATCAGACAGAATTATGTGTAGGAGGTTTCACCTATACATCCTGAAAAAGTGAAGTTTCTATGTGGATTAAGTAAACAGATGAGTTGCAAAACATACACATTTCCATTCCTGGAACAAATCAACGTACGTACAACAGTGGAAATATGTCAGTTTGCCTAAACTGATGGTTTGGACTGGTAAGCATTTCTTGGTTGCTGAGCATTTCTTTCTCCAGGCATATCCAAGTGTAACTGTTCTGGGAAGTCTGAAAAAAGTAATGTCTAATTGAATGAGTCTTGGGAAAAGCTGGCTTTATTTATTTGCCTTCCTCATAAGGCAAGGAGAATACTAAACCTATTGAGAAATCGTTTGTTGTTTCTATTCCTACCTGATCCAGCTGCATGATCTTGGTACTGTTATCATTCCTCCTTACTACTCCCCAGCTTTTTCCAATTGTTGCATCTTTCTCAAGCCAGATTGCAAGCTCTCCAGAGCAAGGACCGTGACTTCCTAGGTATAGGTTCGGTGATACTCACAGTAGGGTACTGAGTCTGACGGTTACTTTTGGCCACTGCTGCGATGTGAACAGCGCTGACTACAGGCTGTCGTCTTGAGCGGATGCAACGTTTAGAACATGTGAAAGCCTCCATGCAGCTGTGTGTGTTATTGAACAAAGTTGCCACTCAGCAATTCTGACTCAAATAAAACACCCACAGCAGTTTTCCCTTTGGTCTAATTTTCATCATAATATTATTTCTTACATACCAATATAATGAACTTTTTTTTACTGTTCTGCTCTGTAGCTGTATAACAGATCTATTTGAAATACATTTCCAACCAAATCACTATTTTCATCTACAGGTAATTATCAGATTTCATTTTAGCTCTTCTCATTGCTCAGATAATTCAAGAAATTACTTGAAATAAAACATTAGGTAGTACAGTTAGATTGGCAGGAATGTTTGCAAAAAGATGTTGAAGATGTTGAAGGCAGGGCAGTGCCTGTAATATTTGCTTTACCACCTAAGAATAGTAGCAAAACAATATACTTAGACAGTCCTTGTTTGGTTTTAATGAGCCAAGAAAAAAATTGGTAGTTAATACTGTTTTCTTTTCACAGTGAATAGAATCAAGCAGATAAAAATTGAAGATCAGTCTTTGGGAGTAAGCACAGAAAGCCAAGTTGATTTTATTGTTTTTATTCCATTTGATTTGAAGCCTAACACAGTAACTGGTTTAAACTACATTGCATGAGTGTCTCTTGCCAGCTTCTAGTGTTATAATCAGAAAGGACTGTAGAGCGGTGTTCCAGCTCCTAGGTTTTCTGATTTTCCCAGTGAAAGGTCTTTGTGACTGCTCCACTGGAATCAAGCTTCCTAGAGGAAGCGAGTAAGATGGGTGCAGTCAGTAAGAGTTTCCCTAAAGAGCCATGAGAAATCAGTAAGGAATAAGATAGTCTTGACTGGGTGGCGTTATTTTATTCAGCGTCTTGCTTGGTCCTCTCAAGGAGTATGAGTAAGGAGCAGAGCCCTTAGCTCCTATAGGGACTGTATCAGCAGAAGAGACTCTGTAGGAGCAGAGAACCCGAATAAGCTTAGGCGAGTGTCAGGAACAAACACGCTGCTTTAGGAGGATGACGCTTACTGAATGTCTGGTTCCAGAAGCAGGTGTTTCCCCCACAGGCATACAGGAGATGGTCAATCCAGTGTGTCTGGAGCAGGATCCTCTTTAAAGTTTTGTGGGTAACGTTCATTTCTAGTGAGCAATTCCCATGGAAATCAGCTGAGTTTTACTAGGATGGGACTTCACAGCTGTCAGTAGAGCATTTAATGTATTTCCGTATGACTTGTGATGGATTTTTTTAAAGAACACAAATTCCTTAACATGCTGTATTTTTCACACTTCTTATTGTAGCTCTGGCTTTGCATTTTAGTTTGCATTACAAGTAGAATGATTTCCAGCACTACTCTCCTGTTATAAAACGTTTATTAATTAAAGTTTAAATTTTGCTGTGGTGGGAAGTAGGAGCAGAGCACAATTTAAAATGTCTGACCTAATTAACAATGGGAAGATACTCTCTCAAACTACCATTTGTCTTTCCACCATTACTGTAACTATCCTTACAGGTCAGTATTCCACAGCAACTAAACAATAGCAAATAATAACTTCAATTTTTATTACATTATTCATCATGGAAGATCCAAAAACACTTTATAGAATAAAGTGCTCTCCCATCACTGTTCTTTGCCCACCACTAAGGAAGAACATGTCATCTATGTTAAAATGATGTTATTGAGCAGTGCTGGACAGGAAATATATGGAATATTCATTTTTAGAAACCTCTGGGGAAAGTTATATGTAAGATTACATGTGTTAGAATTTGGATGGGAATTTGGATTTACAAGAATTTAAGGCCATAAAGGACCAATATAACTATATAGTCTGATCTTCTGCATAACACAGGCCTTAGAATTTCACCCGGTAATTTCTGCATAAAGCTTGTAATTAGTAGCTGAGTTAAGATATCTTTTTTAGAAAGAGAGTCTTGGATTAAAGATTTCAAATGATAGAGAATGCACCACATCCCACGGTCAGCAGATGCAATAGTTTCTTCCCCTCATTTAAAAACAAAACAAAACTGTGCCTTATTTATAATCTGAATTGAACACCTCTACTGAGGTGGTCATCTTAAAGACAGCACCTACAGTAAGAAAGCCCCTTCTAACACAGTGGAGGTGTTTAAAACATGAACAGTGGTGACTGCATAAGTCAAAAAATTCAAAGAAAGTTTTATTCATTTTCCTTGATCATTCACCTTTGAAAAGTCCTTCACCTTTCCCTTCTGGCTGCTTGCTTGATAAGAGACTGCCAGTGCTGTACTGAAGCACTTTTTTGAATGAACCTTATATTATCTTGGACTCTTGAATGACTACCCTTCACAAGTTTTCTGCCTGTGAGAAAGGAGCATGTTGCTATAAAGGAACAGTTTTGGATACGGCATCTGATGAACAAAAAACACATTTATTTAACTTTTCTTTCTTCTTTCCAAACAAAGCAATGCTGCTGGACTGAAAAAAACCACAGATGAGTGTCAACTAACGGTGATGAGAGCGACTTACTCTCCAGCATCATCTCCTAGACCAGGAAGTCTGGATATCCAAGCGCTTAAGGACAGTCTAATCCCTTCTTCTCATGGGGTCATCAAGCAGGTTAGTTTGGTAAGAGAAATTACTAAACCTTATGTTTTGTTACATGTTTTATGCTTTCTAAACACTGGATGCAGAGTGAATCCTGCAGAGCTTGAAAGGTTTCCGTTGTCTTAACCACTTGAAATTTATGTTCAGAACACATGATCATAGTTGCTGTTTCTAAAAATTTCGGTCCTATTTTATTCATTTAAGTTCCACATTCTAGTGAAAAGGCATACTGGATAAAGGGACAAGTCAAAAAAAGCTAATATCGGTTGGATGCAGAGTTGCACAGAGGAGAATTGGCTGAATGCAGAGTTCCAAGGAGAGGAGTTCTTCCTCAGAAGGACTTTAAATATTATGTAGTTCTACTTTATAATTCTTAGCTTTCGCCCAAGCTTAAAATATATTGGTAAAACTGTATATGAAGAAACGAGCAAGACTCCTTTCTTAGAGGTTAAAAGATAGTGAACGGAAGCCAGAAGCAAAGGGCAAATTTCCACTTTGGTTTGTCTAACCCAGTCAGTCCTGTCTCTTTCTCACTTTTCTGTGCTGTCCCAGCCAGTCCTGTGCACTCCAGACTGCCGTATGCACCTCCACGCTCCACTTCATCAAACCTTTTCTTAAGGAACATTTCTTCCAAGAAGTCTGCAAACCAGAATGGAACTATTGAAACGTCCATTCCTGTTCTTTCAAACTTTTGATGACCATGTTGCATGCAGAGAGCATCTTTTGTCTCTTTAGGTTTTAAAATGCCTCTCAGGTAGACTTGCCTTCATTTTTACCTTGCTGACTGCGACAACGCCCTTATTAGAAAAATAATACTTTCATAAATAATAAATTTTCTTTTGTTTCAGAATATAGGATATAATTTCAGTAATTTTCTGTGGCATAAAATGGATATATTATTATTCGTGCCACATTAATTCATGTTTGCATATGCCATACAAATATTTGAAATCGGTTATTTCGGAAAGATGTTCCAAACAGTGAACCAAGTACTCATGTTAAGTGTGAAAGAGTAATATCCTTGAGAAGAACAAACTAACTCATTTGAACCCATAAAAAAACTAAGCACTGAGGTTAAACCGTAAAATGTGGTGGGCAGTTTCTCACTACAGTAAAACACTAGACTATTAGGTATGCAGGCATTATGTGTTTGTTTGCTCCTGTGGGTACTAAAAGTATTCTGAATTCCTCAGAAGGACTTTAAATATTATGTTATAAAATGTTAAACCAATACCTTTAGGACAAAAACAGAATCCAACACATGCCACCTAGATTATTAAAGAAGGCTGACAAATAAAAAAATCAGGACTCAAGCTTCTGAAGCATGTTTTAATGGAACATATTTCCACTTCATCTATAAAAAGCTCTAGTTTAAACCCCTGCACTTGTTTACACCTGAGATAATGAGGTAGCTTATTCATTTGCTTTTGGAAAAAGTTATTTTTGTTTCAACCAAAGCAGCTCTTTTTTTTTTTCTTTGTATTTCAGCATCTTTGAAATTAGAAGTTACTGTGTCGTTTTAAAGGGAGTTTCCTGTTAAAGAAAACAAAGAAAATTATATGCCTGAATCCAGTAGGACAATTTGTTGTTGTTTATGTCTACAGTAGACCTAACAGCAATGCATATAGCAGCAAGTTTCCTTTCTGGGAAAAAAAATAAAAAAATACTACCTTCATTTTGTTAATGGACAGATTGAGTTCACCAAAAGTTAAACATTCTGAACGAGACCAAAATGCACTAAATAGACTTCTTAAAAATACTCATCGGGAAAGAAGCAACTCAGGGTGTATTCGTGTGAGGATTGTTGTGAAAGCAATTTCTTAGAACAGATCTTTGCAATGGTTTTTCCACTTTTAAATGATGATTGTTGGTTTTGTTAATGCAAATTTCTGTGGCGTTAATTCTGGGAATTTGTCCAGTTAAACACATTCTTCCATTCAGCCCAAGAGGAAACTCTCGGCAGCAATTCTTGAGTTGTTTTTTATTTTAGCAACATTCATGTGGAAACCTTTGCTTTGTTTTGAGAGACCCTTAGGCTTATCGTATGTAATGTAATGATACTTAATCTCAGAAATGCAACCTTTTCAGGCCTGATAGTGGGGCAAATAAATACTAATCCAAAGAGGAAAATTTCATGCCATTCAGGAACTTGGGCCTTCCTAGCTATCAGCAGTATTATATGTGCTCGTTGCCCTCTCCTGGTTTCATCTGGTAATTTTTCAGGTTTAAAGTGTCTGATTCAGGTCTCCTAAGAATGTTATGCTTTTCTCCGACAGATATTTTTTCCTTGTCCAGTCCAGGGTATCATTAATGAACATGGTTTCTCAGGTAGTACAAATTGCCTTGCTCATCAGCATACTGAAAAAATAGGCCAAGAGCCAGCACCGTTTTGGATTCGCTCAAGTCAGAACTGGTGGACTCTGTTTACTCCCTGTCCATGTTTTAATATTTATCTGCTACTCACCTGTGGATTTATGTACATAACAGCAATTCAGGCAAATGCTTGAATTTAAAAAGTGCTTTTGATGAGGTTCTACACTAAATACTTTTATGTCATGAGAAGTTGTCAGGAGAAGAGAGATCATTAAAGGTAGGGGTCACAAAGGGCAGAAGTATGTTTTCTTCATAAAACTTAGG